TATATATGCACCCATGTCATGCAATTCCCACGGAGGTCAGGAGAGGGCTGTGCTGGATAGCTTCAGTGTCAACTTAACACACCTAACACACCTGCGTAGAGGGAGATTCAACTGGGGAATTGTCTCCATTGGACTGACCTGTGGCCATGTCTGTGGGATATTCTTTTGATTGTTGAGTGATGTAGGAGGGCCCAGCCCACTGTGGGTGGTCTCACCCCTGGGCAGGTGGGCCTGTGTTGCATAAGAAAGCAGGCTGAGCAGGGGCCAGGGGAACAAGCCAGTAAGCAGTGTTCCTCCTCCATGGCCTGTGCTCCAGCTCCTGTCTCCAGGTTCCTGCCCTGCCTTGGGCTCCCTGATGAACTGTGACCCAGAGATGTAAGCTGAATAAACCCTTTCCTCCTCAAGTTGATATTGGTCAGAGTATTTTGTTACAGCAATGGAGAGACAAGCTAGGACAAGGGCATTCAATCCCCAGGAACTGTTATGGATGGCTGTTAGCTGCCATGTGGGTGATGGGAATTGAACCCAGATCTTCTGCAAGAACAACCAGTGCTCTCTTTTTTAAAAATTTATTTATTTATTTATTTATTTAATTTTTGATCTTTTTGAGACAGGGTCTCCCTGTAGTCCCAGCTGTCCTGGATTCACTATGGAGACCAGGCTGGCCTCGAGCTCACAGAGATCCGCCTGCCTCTGCCTCCCAAGTGCTAGGATTAAAGGCGTGTACCACCACGCCTAGCTGTTTATTTATTTTTATTTTATGTATATGAGTGTTATGCCTGCATGTGTCTAAGTGTGCCCATGTCATGCATGCAATGCCCTCAGAGGTCAGAAGAAGGCATCAGATTCCCTGGAACTGGAGTTATGGATGATTGTTAGCTGCCATGTGGGTGTTGGGATTCAAACCTGGGTCCTCTGCAAGAACAACCATTGCTTTTAACTGCTGAGCCATATCTCCAGCCACAACTAGTGCTCTTAACCACTGAGCCATCTCTCCAGCCCCTGGAAAAATTTTTTTTAATTAATTAATTTTTATTTTATATGTGTGTGTTTGACTGCATGCTCCTGATGTCATGCAGTGCCTACGGAGGCCAGAAGAGGGTGCCAGATCCCCAGGAATGGGGTTACAGACAGTTGTTAGCTGCCATGTGGGTGCTGGGAGCAGAACCTGGTCCTGTGCAAGAGCAGACAGTTTTCTACCATTTCTCCAACCCCTGGTCTGGAAAAGTTTTAAAGGCTCTAGTAAAGGAGATTATTTTAGCTCATATCAGAATAGAAATGATTCCTCCTTTTGACTCTTTTAAGCCAAATGAAACTTAATAGGGATTATTCTATAAAATAGCACGTAAGTATGAATGTATAAGTTAATTATAAAGCAAGGAGAAAATTACTAAGTAAGCAGATTGCTAGCAGTTTGTCATCTGTTTTAAAATGCACATGGATTGTTTTCTCTGCTTAATTCTGGCAGGACTTACAGAGCACTAACCTGGTAGAAGTGTGTATGGCACTCACTGTTGTCAGCCAGATTTTCCCTCGAGAAATGATTCCAGCTGTCCTTCCACTGATAGAAGACAAACTTCAGCACTCTAAGTAAGTAAATAGGTGCCTGTCTTTTTTTTTTTTTTTGGTCTTTTTGAGACAGGGTCTCCCTGTAGCCCCAGCTGGCCTGGAACTCAAATTCACAGGGATCTACTGCCTCTGCCTCCTGAGTGCTGGGATTAAAGACCATGCCCAGCAAGGATATATATTTTATTTATTCTTTGACAGTTTGATACATCTGTACAATCCACCTTTAACTTCTTCCTCCCATTACATATGACCCTTCTCAGTACATCCTCCTCCTACCTTCATGACTCCCTTTTTTAATAACCTGTTATTAAATATTTAATAACCTGCCCATATATGCATGGGTATGGGGCCATCCACCAGAGTGTGGGCAACCTACCAGTGGTCATGCCCCTGAAGAAAAATGACTCCTCACTCCCAGCAACCTTCAACTGCCAATAATTCCTCAGCTAGGGGTGGGGTCTTATGAACCCTTCCCTCTGAGTGCAATGACCATGTTTCGTCCAGAAGATAGTATCTCTCAGTACTTCTCCCTATCCTTCAGCTCTTACATTCTTTCCTCCCCCTTTTCCTTGATGTTCCCTGAGCCTTGGTGGAGGGAGGTGCTATAGATGTCCTGTTTCGGGCTGAGCATTCATCAGTCACTTTTATGAGTACTTTGGCCTGTTATAAGTCTCTGAATTAGCTGTTATCCTCTGCAAAACAAGCTTCTCTAAGGTTGAAAGCAGCACTAATTTGTGGGTGTAAATATTAATATTTAGAAGATAGCTTTATAATAATGTCCATGCAACAAAACAACAGTAATAGATTCTCCCATAGGGCTTATGACCTTATGAGCCATGGGCTTTTGACCAGGCTTATAATTCCAGGTTCTAATTTTCCTGTGGAGCAGGTCTCATATTCAATCAGAAAGTAGTTGGTTGCCTCCATAGTACTTATGCCACTATTGCACTAGTGAGCACTTTTTTGGCAGGTCAGTATTGTAGCCTACAGGGTCTATTGCTGTGACCCTGGTGAAGGCCATCAATGACTTTTCTCACCTAGTGGCCTACATAGTAGAAACTAGTCAGTTTCCATGAAGCATGTATAGGACCCGGGACTAAGGAGATGGCTACGTTGGTAAAGTGTTTGCTGTGAAAGTATGAGGACCAGAGTTCAGATCCCCAGCATCTAGGTAAAAGCTGGGCACAGTAGCACAACCAAAATCCTGCAACCAAAGTATATGGTGCCTTCAGCAGCAGGGTCTTACCATGTGGTTATGGTGGGAGCTAAGAATGATGGCAGTAGCCTATGTTATTGTTCTGGGGGCCTCTGGAGCCTTCTTGACTCATAGGGAGGTTTCCCCACCTGGCACTTAGATTTTCATTTAATAATCCATGTTGTCTAGGAAAAGTATTGTCCACTGATGCAGGGTACCTCCATTCAAACCTTTTGTTTTAAATTATATATATATATATATATATACAATATATTAAATATAAAGCATATTAGATCATAAAGGTTGTTAGCTGCCATATTGGTGCTGGGAATTGAACCTGATCCTTTGCAAGAGTAGCCAGTGCTCATAACGGCTGAGCCATCTCTCCAGCCCCTTAAATTATATATTTTGATTACCTTACAAAGTAGTGGGTTTCCTTATGGAAACCTGAATAATTCCTGAAAAGGGCCTGCTCCACAGGAAGAAATTGATGTCTGGTAATGTAAACCTGGTCAAAGTCTGATGACTCAGGAGGTCATAGACCTTATGGGAGAACCTACCACTGTGTTCTAAAGGGACATACTGTCAGTCTGTGTTGTAGATATTATAATCTGGGTTTTTTTTAATTTTTATTTATTAGTTAATTAATTTATTTTTACTTGTATTTTTTTTTTCTTTTTGAGACAGGGTCTCCCTGTAGCCCCAGCTGGCCTGAAACTCACTGTGTAGACCAGGCTGGCCTCGAACACACAAAGATCTGCCTGCCTCTGCCTCCCAAGTGCTGGGATTAAAGGTATGTGCCACCACGTCCGGATTTTTTATCATTTTTATGTATACGAGTGTAGTGCTGCATGTTTGTAAGTGCGCCTGTGTTGTGCAGTGCTCATGGAGGTCAGAAGAGGGCATTGGATCCACTAGAACTGGAGTTTTAGACAATTGTTAGCTGCCATCTGGGTGCTGGGATTCAAACTCTGGTTCTCTGCCATCTCTCCAGCCCCAGATATTTATATTTCATATACCCATTCTTAATTTTGGTTAGCCTACTCTCACCTCTTCCTTTCTGTCATTCCCTTGCTTCCATTACCACTTAAACCTTTAATCCCAGAGTTCCCTCCACTCCTCATAGCACGTGTTCTGTTACCCCATCCCCTACTTAAATTCTCTTCTGTTTGCCTTTCATTGATCCTTCCTAGCTTCCTGACCTCTACATGCACTCCAAATTAAACACACGCATCTAAAAATTCTAAGCTATGATCCATATGAGAGAGAGCATGAAGCCAGAGAAGAAGAATGTATATATGTATGTACGTGTGCACACATGGTTTTTGTATGTGATTATGTGTGTGTGGGTGCCAGAGGTCAATATCAGGTGTCTTCCTTGATCATTCTGCACTTTATTTTTTGAATCAGGATCTCTCGCTGAACCTAGAATTCACTGATTTCAGGATTCCAGATATGCACTACTGTGCCTGACTTTTGCCTGGGTGGTGCAGATTGGAACTCAGGTCTTCAGTTTAGTGACTGAGCCCTCTCCCCAGCCTCCAGTCCTATACACGCTTAATAGAGATTTAGTTTTTGATCATGTATTAATTATTTAGTCTGATTCTTTTTTTTTTTTTTCATCTTTTTGAGATAGGGTCTCCCTATAGCCCCGGCTGGCCTGGAACTTTCTATATAGACCAGACTAGTCTTGAGCTCTGCCTGCCTCCCGAGTGCTGGGATTAAAGGCGTGAGCCACCATGCCCAACAACTTACACTATTTTATATGGCAAATCTGTGTTTAAGACAAAGGTTGATTATAAGCAATCAATTATTAGAATAAAATATTAACTTTTATAGGGAGGATGTTGTAGCAACATCATACTTTTACATGATTTTTCCTTACCACCAGCGTTGTGGTGACCACACTACCAACCATTTATACAAGCTCATTCTGAGAATTTAAAGACCACTTTAAATTTTCCTCTTATTGCTTTTGATTGAGTTTAACTTCAAATCCTGGCTAGAGTTTACAGTTTGCCTTTGCAGCTATGACCATATTCCATGGTGTGGGGTAGAAAGCCAAAGAGTAAGAGTCAGAGCTCCAGGTAAGCCAGTAATAGCATACAGCAGGGCTCAGACTCAATTTCAGAGCGCACATCCAAGTGTCTTGATGTCATGTTGGCCAGGCTTAGTGACTCTGAGGCTGTTCAGGGTTTTCTTTTCCTTTATCTCATTTGTGTACTCTTCTAGATTAATATTGGGTAGCACCCTCGGGCAGCACATTGTTAAGTGGTTTGCAGTTACCACAGTTTTACTATTAGTGGCGTATTTGTTGTTAATTTACTTTTTGTGTGTGTTTGAAAAAAATTTTCCATCTGGTATAGTTTGCTTAGGAAGATGGGTAATATTTATTAATGGAATTTAGCAGAAGCTGAATGACCACCTAGGAATCTTATAAAAGGCATTCTAATTTAGTTGAACATGAAGAAATAATGGTTGGAGACATGACCTGGTGGTTATGATCATGTACTGCTTTTGCAGAGGACTGGAATTTGGTTCCCAGCACCCACGTCAGTCATCTCATAGCTACCTGTAACTGCTGCTCCAGGGGATCCAATGCCCTCTTCTGGCCTTCACAGGCATCCATCTTCACACATGTATACATAATTGAAAGAAGTTAATCTGGATTGTTTTTGTTTTGATTTGATACAGGATCTCTGTGTTTGTAGCCCAGGCTGGCCTCTTGTTCCTCCTGCCTCTGCTTTCCAAGTGCTGGGATTATAGGCATGTGCCGTTACTTCTAGCTATGTTTAATAAATGTCATTTTGAGATTCTGTGATTTTAGTTAATAGCATTATATACCAAGAAAGAGTTCACTTTGTGGTGTTTGCTGTGTTTGCACCTGCTCGTACAAGTGAGATAGGCAGAAACAGGCTGAGAAGAATAAGAAGTACAGTTCTCTGGAAACCACTGAAAAACAGACCAGAGAGTTGTCTGTGCTGATGCACATCTCTTATCCTCACTATGGGTGCTTGGGAAGCTGAAGCAAAACTGTTTGAGGCCAGCCTGGGTAACATAGTAAGACCCTGTTGCAAAGTAAACAGTAAATAAATAGGACTGTGGATGCAGCAGTGCCAGAGTACTTGTCTAGCATCTATGATTCTCTGAGTTTGGTCCCCAGCATTGGAAAAAACAAAGCTAAAACTAAAACAAAAACCAGCCAAAGACATAACTAGGATGAAGGATCTTGCCTTTTATCTTTTGCTGTGTTTTTGCTAGATGTGGTTTCTTACAAGTGAAGTGTGAGATCAGCATGTACTTTCCCCTTTATTATCATGAGGTTTTTAAAAGAAATGATCAGGCAAGGAGGGGAGAAATACCTATGTGTGTTCCCTGTGCCTCTCTATCCCCAGAATATTGGGATATTCTTGCTCAGAATATTGGGATATTCTTGCTCATGATATAAAACATTTTTTAACCTAATAAAGACATTTGTTTGACATTACTATCTGAAATTACCTTTTAATGATTTAAATTTATGATTTTTCAGACATTTCTAGAGAAAAGGTTTTTAAAAAATGGAATCAAGGAATTAACAAAATTTATTTTGTTTCAATTGATGACAAAACTAATGTATACATTACTTAAAGTTTTATAACTAGGGAAATATATAACTAATAGGCAGTTAAAGTTTCTTGAGGTGGGCATCATGATACTTGCCTATAAACTCAGTATTTTTAAGAATGAGGAAGGATGATTTTGAGTTGTCTCAACTTAAAGTTTGTTGAGTTGACCAGTCTAGGTTACACAGTGAGACCGAGACCCTGCCTCCTAGCACAACAACATCAAAACTGAAAAAGGGCTGAGGCGATGACCCAGTCAGGTTCTTGCTGTTTAAGCATGAAGACCTGAGTTTTTATCCCTAACACTTTCATAACAGCCAGGTGTGGCATTGTGCACCTGGGGAGGCAGACAGACAGTTCCTTGGGGCTTTCTGGTCAGCCAGTGTAGCTGTCAGCAAGCTCCAGATTCAGTGAATGACTCTGTCTCAAAAATTAAGGTGGAGGGTGATAGAGGAAGACACCTGACACCAACCTCTGGCCTCCATACACATGTGCACACATGCAAGTGTGCTCTCTCACACATGTACAAACACATGAACATGTACACACACAGACCCTCCCCACTCCCCAGAAAAGGGATCTCTTGAGACCTTTGTAGCATAACTACTTTTTATTATTTGATGCATTAGAATAAATAAACTAGTAATAGACACATGATGACCCAGATTGTCTTCTTTAAATTTCTTTTTTTATCCTTAGGGAGATTATACGAAGAAAAGCCGTTCTGGCTTTGTATAAATTTTATCTCATTGCTCCTAATCAAGTACAACACATCCATACTAAATTTCGGAAAGCACTTTGTGACAGAGATGTTGGAGTGATGGCTGCTTCTTTGCACATATACCTTAGGATGATTAAGGTAAGTTGGCAATTTTAGCGTTTGCTCAGGATGTACCATTATAACAGTGTAACTAGGGGATTAAAATAAAACTCAGAAATTTCAGTAAAGTGATTAATTAATATTGTATACTATTTTCATGGCTGGAGAGATGCCTTGGTAGGTAAGAGTGCTTGCTGCACAAGCATGAGGACTTGAGATGGGATCCTAGCACCCATGGAAAAAGCTCGGTATGGCCATGTGCTTGCCTATAACACCAGTGCTTTGGGGGCAGAGACAGGAGGATCACTGGGGTTTACTGACTGCCAGTCTAACTCCAGGTTCTCTCAGTGAGAGATGCTGTCTCAGGGGAATAAGGTGGAGTGTGATAGAGCAGGACACCTGACAGTCTCCTCTGGACTCACCCTGTGCACATGCACACATGTGTTCATATACCACACATACATACACTACACTTGCACATAAATACAGACACAAAAATATATGTACTATTATTTACTTTCTTATTTTATTTTTATGTGTATGAGTGTATTTTCTGCATGTGTGTAAGTGTACCCATGTCGTGCAATGCCTGTGGAGGTCAGAAAAAGGCATCAGATCCCCCAGAACTGGAGTTATAGATAGTTGTTAGCCAGCATGTGGGTGCTGGGAATCGAACCTGGGTCCTCTGCGAGAGTAGTCAGTGCTCTTAACTACTGAGCTATCTCTCCAGCCCTGTTATTTACTTCTAAATGTAATTTTTGCAAGTTGTTGATAGCATGAGTTGTATGCATGTTACTTAATTTTTAAAGAATTTTCTTTTTGAGACAGGGTCTCATAATGTAGCCCTGACTGGCCTGGAACTTATTTTGTAGACCAGACTGACCTCAGCCTCAGAGAGATCCACTTGCCTCTGCCTCCCAAGTATTGGGGTTAAAGGAGTGCACCACCATGCCCAGCAGCTTAGAGCATTTTTAATGCCTGAAAGTTTTCTTATTCCTAAGAAATACAGAAAAATGATACTTATGGAAGGTGATTTAAAGTTATAGATTTGTTGTTTTTCAAGCAGTGAGTGTTTTTTATACAGCTTCATGAGAGTGTACCATTTTGTAGAAGTGGAGAGAGGTGGGAAAGTTGTGCCAGGTAGAGATAGCAGTGTTGACTACACACATTGATGCTGCCCTGTGTCAGATGAGGAACAAGGGTTGAATAGTACAGTTTAAAAAAAAATCTTTCCAATGATGATGGGTTTGTACTAATTCAATCTCAGTGTATTGCCTGAGTCTCTTGTTTTGTTTTGTTTTATAGCCCCAGCTGGCCTGGGACTCACTGTGTAGACCAGGCTGGCCTGGATCTCATAGAGATCTTCCTACCTCTGCCTCCCAAGTGCTGGAGTTCCACCAGGCCCATACTGAAACTCTTTTGAGACAAGATCCTATGTAGCCTGGGCAAGTCTTAAACTCACCATATAGTTGTAGCTGGCTGAGACTGCCTTTGAACTCCTGCTTCTGACTTTGAAACGTTTTGTGTTCAAAAGTGTGTTTGATCCCTGACACCACATACACACATTAAAAACTCCAAGCAAAAAGATACCTTTATGAGAGATTTCATAAGCACATGCTGTAATAAAATGAAGTATGCTAATGAACTCATTAAAATTTTACAACTAAAGCTTGCCATCTCTTTTCTGCATTGTTTCAAACTAATATATAAATAGATATTTGATATTAAATCTGATTTTTCATCTAAAATTTGAAAGAACTAATATTTCTCTTCTAAAAATTTGCCCTTGACATATAATACATACAAATTTCCATGAAGAATCTCTCTCATGTTTATTTTGGAGAGGTTAACTTTTTCCTTCTTGGGTTTTTTTTTTTTTTTTTTTTTGTCTTTTTAAGACAAGATCTCCCTGTTGCCACAGCTGACCTGGATTCTCTGTGGAGACCAGGCTGGCCTGAACTCACAGAGATCCACCTACCTCTGCCTCCCAGTGCTGGGATTAAAGGCGTGTGCCATCAAGCCTGGCTTAACTTTTTCCTTCTTAACTTTTATTTGTATTTTGTAATTAATACAAGTTAAAATTGGCACATAATAATTATACATATTTAAGTGGATCAAAGGATGATAACTTGGTACCTCCTACAAGGTATATTGATCAAATCTGGGTAACTAGCATTTCCATCAACCTAAACCTAAATATTTATCATTTCTTTGTAGTTGGAAACTTCATTGAGTTTTTGAAATTATGAGAATACTAGATGATCGTTATAAAATAATTCACGTGTACATATATAACTAGACAAATTCTAAAGGTATTTATATACCTTAATTTTTAATATTTGTCTCCACTGGGTGTGGGACTTGAGTGTAAGGAAGGTACTCTTAGATTTTACTATAATATTCATCATAAATAGTATATATTTGATTTTCTCAGTTTAAGAGATTAGTCAGGCTGGGTGTGGTGGCGCACGCCTTTAATCCCAGCACTCGGGAGACAGAGGCAGGCAGATCTCTATGAGTTCAAGGCCGGCCTGGTCTACATAGTGAGTGCCAGGACAGCTGGGACTACAGGGAGACCCTGTCTCAAAAAAGACAAAAATAAAAACAGATATTAGTCAGAAAGTTAATGTACTCTCATTCTGAAATAGAAATATGTTTACATGCTCATGCTGTATCAATTTTTAATCAACAGCTCACTGATTCGGTGGGGTTTGAGTGTTTGAGTCTTGGTTGCCTGTGCTCTTCTGGGAATGAATTTAACTCATCTGTATTGAGGTCTTCTATACAAACAGGTCAGCGGTTGCAAACAGGCCTTGATTTTTATCCACAGGAACAGTATTACTTCCCCTTCTCAGGTGCCAGCTCTTTTTATTGTTTGCTTTAATTACTGGTATTGGCTATGAAGGATTCTATCCAAGATGTGATTATCAGAACTTTTTGAATTGTGATTAAACTGTCGCAAAAAGTAGGAGTGAGGAAGCTTTTCTGGGGTGACTAGACTTCGGACTGTGTAGTCAGAGCTGCATCAATGAAGGAAATTACGTATATGTATATTAAAGCTTATGTGTAAACTTCTGAGCATCTTTTAAATTATATTCTGTGTGGCATTTTCCAGGTCTTTCTTTTTTTTTTTTTTTAACCAGGTCTGTTTTATATTTGACAAGATATTATTAGCCTAGGAGTGCATGTCTGTAATCTCAGTGCTTGGGTAGGAGGATCAGGAGTTCAAGAATGGCCTTGGCTACATAGTGACTTTGAGAGCAGCCTGGGTTACATTGAAACCCTGTCTCAAAAAAAAGAAATTCCTGTTAACAGAATTTATTTTTTTAATATAGGAAAATCCATCTGGATACAAAGACCTGACTGGGAGCTTTGTAACAATTCTAAAGCAAGTAGTGGGAGGAAAGCTCCCGGTCGATTTCAATTATCACAGTGTGCCAGCACCGTGGCTGCAGATTCAGCTCCTGAGAATTCTGGGACTTCTAGGAAAAGATGACCGAAGGTAAACTGCCCTGAGTTGTGTAAAGACCCCACATGTAAAACAGCCTTAGGCTCTCGTCACAGAGAGGACTCATGAAAAACAGATTTGCCACTATTTGGCCTAATGGTGATAAAGCAGTGTGAGATTATAAATTTCTTCAGGTTGCGGGGCAGTGCTGGCTCTGCTATCCAGATAGGCCCCTTGTGACAGGTGCTGCCGAAGTGCAGACCCCTGGTGAAACTTGCTTAATCATTGGAATAGAAACTGGAAATCTTTTTCTACAAAGGACCAAATAATAAATATTTCAGGCTCTGTGGGTCATATATTTTTGCTGTAGCTACTGAATTTTGTTGTTGTAGATTGAAAGCAGCCATAGCGTAACATAAATTAATGAGAATGACTGTGTTCCAAAAACTTATTTATATGCATTAAAGCCTAAATTTCATATAATCTGAACATTTCATGAGACTGTTCTTTTTTTTTTTTTTTTCAACATGTAAAAGCTATTCATCATTTATATCTAAAGAAACACAGGGAAAGGAGGGGTGAACATAATCAGAATACATTATGTATATGTATGGAAATGTATGAAAGCTGACATTCAATAGGAAACACAAAGAGGCTTATATTAATGATCTTAACACCAAGACACAGGCAGACTGTTTCAACAACAGTTCAACTGAAGAGAAATTAAAAATGAAGGATATGTAGATTGAAAGAGAGTTAGGAGATAGAGCAACCAGTTAAAATGGATGGGTCATGGGACTAGCAAGAGGGTCCATGGGTAAAGGTGCTTGCCACAGCTTGGTGACCTGAGTTCAGTCTCTGGGACCCACATGCTGGAAGGAGAGAACTGATCCTGCAAGTTGTCCTCTGACCTCTACATGGGTGCCATGGTGTGCGTGTCCACACACGTACATGTGCACCCTTGTATGCATGCATGCATGCATACACATACACACACATACGCACACACACACACACACACCAAACAAATAAATGTTAAAAAAATGAGGGGGTTTTATTTGGATTCTAATTCAAGAAAAGCCTTAAAAAGCTGTGATATAAGCTGGGCATGGTGGTGCACACCTTTAATCCCAGCATTCGGGAGGCAGAGGCAGGCAGATCTCTCTGAGTTCAAGGCCAGCCTGGTCTCCATAGCGAGTTCTAGGACAGCTGGGGCTACAGGGAGACCCTGTCTCATAAAAAAGACCGAAAAAAAAAAAAAAAGGCTATGATACAGCTGGATGTGGTGGCATATGCCCTTAATCCCAGCCCTGGGGAAGCAGAATTAGGTAGATCTCTATGAGGACAAGGCCAGCCTAGTCCATATAGGGAGTTCCAGGCCAGCTGGGGCACCAGCGAGACCCAGTCTCAAAAGAGAAAAAAACCCAAAACAAAAAGCTATGATAAAACTGGAAATTTGACACCAGCTGAACATAAAATATTAAGAAATCATGAACTATATAAAGGAACTGTGGACATATATAGACTTGACTTTGAAATGTTTATGCTTAAGGTTATATTCTAGACATCAAGAAGTCATCTCTAAGTTTAGGAAGTAGATAAAGTCAGCCATGACTTAACTGGAGTGAGGTAATGAATACATGGGTTTGTACCATTTCATATTTTTTTCTTTTTTTTAATATTTATTATTTTTTAAAATTTTATGTGTATGCGTCTATTGCCTGCATGTAGGTAAGTGCACCTGTGTCATGCAGTGCCCACGGAGGTCAGAAGAGGCTATCGGATCCCCTGGAACTGGAATTACGGACAGTTGTTAGCTGCCATGTGGGTGCTGGGATTTGAACTTGAGTCTTCAAGAACAATCAATGCTCTTAACCGCTGAGCCATCTCTCCAGCCCCCATTTCATATTTTTTCATGTTTGAAATTTTCCATAACAGAAAAATAAAGTTAATGAGAACAATAAAGAGAGCGTAATTTTCAGTAAATAGAAATAAAACACACAGGTATTAAGAAGAAATAGAAGAAAAGAAATCTACCATCAGTCATTCCTGATCCCCTCGTTCTGGTACAGAGATGGTGGACACTGGTAGCAGGAAGAGTCACAGTTTGGGAGTGGGATAGACAGGCAGACGCTGTATAATTTGAATTTTCACATCTGGCTCATCATGGATGTTCTTACACTAATTTTTTTTTTTCCTTTTAAAGATGGCGTTAAATGATAGTTTCTTAATACTGGAAAAAAACAAAAACAAAAATAGGTGTTTGGCCATGTTAGGTCTATGACTAACCTTTGCCAACTTTTCTCTGCCTGGATTGTGTGTGTGTGTGTGTGTGTGTGTGTGTGTGTGTGTGTTGTTTTATTTATTTGCTATTTTAAATATTTTATGTGTATGAGTGTATTGCCTGCATATATGTAAGTGCACCCATGTCATGCAATGCCCGAGGAGATTAGAAGAGAATGTTGGATTCCCCTGGAACTGGAGTTACGGACAGTTGTTAGCTGCCATGTGGGTGCTGGGAATTGAACCCAGATCCTATGCAAGAGTAGCCAGGTGGTCTTTAACTGCTGAGCCAACTGTCCAGCCCTTATTTGTTATTTTAAAATTATTTTTATTCTATATGTATGAGTGTTTTGCATGGATGCATTAAAGTGTACCCATGTGTACAGTGCCCACAGACATCAGAAGCGGGTGTCAGATCCTTTGGAACTGGAGTTGCAGATAGTTGTTAGCTGCCATGTGGGTACTGGGAACTGAGCCTGAGTCCTCTGCAAGAGCAGCCAGTGCTCTTAACCACTGAGCCATCTCTCCTGTTCCATATATGTTGTTTTAACAAATAGTAAATCAAAGACAAAGATTGTTTCTTGGATGAACCTGAGTTGAAATTGAACTAAATTCAGTCTTTTCTAGAATTAAGTACCATTTGGTAGGAAACACAGAGAAGCATATATTAATGATGTTACTACCAAGATACAAACTGTGGAAAAATAGCAAATAACTGGTTCAACAATTAAACCAAAAAACTATATATGCATACAATTTTTTGTCATGTTTTTCAAACTTATAAATTTTGAAGGTTCCAAGAACAGTACCAGCAGGCCCTATTCCTGCACCAGCATTTGTTGACACTTGCTCTATCATTCTTGTGTGCATATACCTACTTTTTATTTTTAAAGATAGAGTCTAATGTATTCCAGGCTGCTCTCAAACTCACTGGCCTCAAACTTACTATGTAGCTGACAATGACCTTGAACTTTTGGTCCTCTTGCTTCTACTCCTGAGTGCCAGGATTATAGGTGTGGATCTTCATGTCCAATTTACATGCTATTTTTATTTTTTAAAATTATTTATTTATTTTTATGTGTATGCGTGTTTTGCTTACATGGATGTAAGTGCACCACGTGGTACATGCAATGCCAACAGAGGCCAGGAGAGGGTGTTCCAACACTTGGAACTGGAGTTACAGATGGTTGTTAGCTGCCATGTGGATATAGCCAGAGCTCTTAACCATTGAGCCATCTCTCCAGCCCCTATTTTAAAGTGTTTTCTTTGGTATGTGAGAGCAAATCTAACTGCAGTTAGTTTCTTTAATAGCAAGGATGTATCTGTCCAAAGAAAGTATTTGTTAATCAGTATTCTGGCATTGATGTTATTTAGTGGGTACATCTATATTTTAGTGTTTAGCTTTGCTGTGGGACAGTCCTTCAGGCCATTTTCTGGCTGTGCCCCATCAACCTCATGTCGGCATTCACTTCTATGAGCTAACCTGTGCTAACTGAGCTTTATCACTTAGGCATTTCTTTGTTCTTTTTTTCTATGTTCATGAATTTCACCCTTGATGGAGACTTGGAGTGAAAACTTGGAGGCAATAGATACATATATTGAAAATGTTTCTCCTAAGTGTTTCATTTGATATAACCACCCTTTTCTAATATGGAACTCTATTTAAGGTTATTGGAGTTATGTCTGAAAAATCAGTAATTTTATGTTAATGTATATACCTTACTGGTTTTTTTTTTTTTAAAAAAAAGATTTAATGCCACCATATGTTGTCAGTAAGTAACTTTGGAGGCATTTATCTTCTTCATAGGTGAATTTGGAGACCATATACAGAGATGAGTAAGCCAGCCTTGACCTTCAAAATCTCAGTTAATAGTAACTAGGCTCATTTACATGAATATGTAGAATCTTAACTTTTATAATGTAGGAATTAGGTTTTCTCCTTTGTTGATCCAACTACAGTGGCATTTTATGTTAATAAATCTTATAATTAAGACATTAGCTCAATATGATAGAGTCAAAATGACTTTTCATAACAAATTGAAAACTTTTCCTAGGAGAGTGTTTTATATCTTTTTGAATATTGTGTTTCTTGGCATTGTACATTATAATATCAATATTTTAAATGTTTCCACATTTGATGAAGTTATGACTCTTACACCAGACATTGACTTTTAAAATGGAGAAACTATACTCTAATCTTGGGATAGTGTTATTGGATTTTGTGGAAGGGTTGTTCATGTCCGCTTTAGTGGAAGAAGTGCTTACACCATAAAATGACAGGTTTTAGAATGTCATTTTCTGTTCTCATCCTTGGATATACTTTGGTCAAGAGAGAAGGAAAGTACATGTACTTCAAATAGAATTTTCTAACTATATTTCCAAAAAGAAAATTTCTGAAATGGATGGAAATGTTCATAACTAATTTAGCTAGCCTCAGATTATTTTGATATTTTTATCTTCCAGCACTGTTTCTCTGCAAGATCATTGTATGTAATCTCTGTTGTTTCTTCCCATTTCTTTTCATTATTTAAGTTTTTGTTTGTTTTTGTTTTTTTGAGGCAGGGGCTCCCTCTAGCCCCAGGTGGCCTGAAACTAGCTATGTTGACCAGGCTGGCCTCCATCTCACCTGCCTCTGCCTCCACCCACCTGCCTCTGCCTCCAACAGAGTGCTGGGATTAAAGGTGTATGCCACCACTCCCATCCTAAAAAATTTTCAGGGAGCTGGAGATGTGGCTCAGCGGTTAAGAGCACTGACTGGCCTTGCAGAGGGCCCGGGTTCGAGTCCCAGCACCCACATGGCAGCTATGAACTGTCCTTAACTCTAGTTCCAGGGGAATCCAAAACCCTCTTCTGACCTCTGCGGCATTGCACGACATGGGTGCACTCACATACATGCAGGCAATACACTCATACACATAAAATTAAAAAAAAAATTTTAATTAAAAAAATTTTTTTCAAAGCGTATAAAAATCGTCAGCAGAGAAGCATTAGTTTTCACATTGTCTTCTGGGATGAGACGTTTGTTGGAGGCAGAGTGCTAAGGCGCCGGGAAACTGCAGGTTTATTTTACTGAGTATTCACTTCAGCCTTATTGCTACTGTAATCAGGGGCCATAAGAACATACGTGATTGTTTCTTTATTTTCAAGATAAAAGTTAAATTTTTCTTACTAAGGAACCCAGTTACTTTTCAGGAAAAGACTAGTATTTGAATATTTTTTTTAACTTAAAAAAAATTATTGAGAATTTCATACATGCATATAAGGTGTATTTTTTAAAAAACCAACTGGTTGATAAGCAGAGAATATATTTAAAATAATTTGTATATGTACAGTATTTTTATCATAGGTTAAAACAAATATTTTATTGCAAAGAAAATTATGAAAGTTGGCATGCTCATTCCAGTAACACCCTGGTTTATAAACTGGGACCAGGTTGGGGAAGCGTTGACTGACCTCTGTGTATCTTCTCCTTGGCTAAGTAGTCACCTTTGGTAAAGTAGGAAGTTTGTCTTTTGAAAGGAGCAAATGAAGTATTTTGAAGTGAAATTTGTATAACTTTATGATAAAATGAATCTCTTTCACTTGTCTTCTGTAGATCCTCAGTTTTAAAGAGAAAAGTTTGAAAAACTGTTTTATTGGGTTAGAATACTATAATTCTACTGCAAATAAAATATCTTTTAAACAGGACAAGTGAATTAATGTATGATGTTCTTGATGAATCCTTACGAAGAGCCGAGTTAAATCACAATGTCACTTATGGTAGGTAAAATATGAATATGTTCATCTAATGAATAATAGTAGTTTTTTAGAGTTGTAGCTAAATCTGTGTTAAAATACCATGAATTCCAATAGAATTTAATACATTAATTTCAAGATGGTTCTTTGGGTTAATGTAAATACTGGAAATAGATGATCATAATTTGAAATTGTGGCGTGTGTGTGTGTGTGTGTGTAGGTAAGTATGTATGTGTGTGTATGTTCATGGGTGTACAGGGAATACATGCGTGTATACGTATTCATGTGGAGGCTAGAGGTCAGTCTTGGGTGTTGTTCTTCAGGAGCTATCCAACTTCTTTTCTGAGACAGGGTGCCTTACTAAGACTGGGGCTAGCTGATAGGCTAGGTTGGCTGGCCAACATCTTCCAGGCATCCTCCTTTCTTTCTTCCCCTGCACTGGGATTACAAGCATGTGCCACCTGGCTTTTTATGTGGGTGCTGGGAAACCCATAGAGGTCTTCATCCTTCTTCCTCATGCTTTTGTGGCAAACACTTTACCAACTGAGCTATCTCCCCAGCCTCAAAATTGTGGCATTTTCTTAATATGTGCTTAACTTCATTATTGTAATTGTCTCTGTTGAAAATATCAAAATATCTAATTTTGAAGATGGCTCAATAAGTCTGTGGCATATAAGAAGTTTATATGTATTTGAAGTTCTTAAACCATTTAACTAGTTGTCAAGTATTTATTAAATTTATTTGATTTGTCAGGCCCTGTGCAAGGTGTTTGATATATAGCCATGAATAAACAATATTATCGTGGGCCTACAGACTTGATAAAAGGAAAGAGACAGGTGTGGTGTTACAGGTGAGAATTACAGGGTACCAGAGGTAGAACACAGCTGCCCATCTTAGGTGAGGGAGCCAGGGAGGTTTGTTTGCTGCTGTTTTGTTTTTTTGAGACTGGGTCTCCTTATAGCCCTAGCTAGCCTGGAACCACGCCTGGCTATGGTACATGCTTTTTTTTTTTTTTTTTAACATTATTTATTTAATAACCACATAATTAGAAGAAGCATTTCCTTACAAAGGCATTGACATATTCAATAACAATTTCCAGAGCCAAGATGCATCTCTTTCAAAATTGGCTGTAAATTTTTAGGTTTACAGTTGAATTAATACAGTTATACAATATTGTACTCAGTATAAACCCTATAAGACATAAATTAAGTGAGGTTTTAACCTTAAAAAAGATCTCTAATTACTTATTAAAATACACAGTTCCATACAGAAAAATTCATTTTTAATGCAATTGACACTGTTTCTAATCTCTATATATCCGATTATTACTAGTCATAGTCGGTTACTCTCTGAGCTCCTTGGCATCTGAGCCCAGATATAAAGTCATCAGGTAGATTTCAGTGGTAATATTTTTCACATGTACTAATTATTAAGGAGCAAATTTTTATGCTTTGAAGAATTATTATGTTTTAAATTTTTTTAAATTTAATAACCACTTGATTAGAAGAAGCATTTCATTACAGCTTTAACATACTCAGTAACAATTTCCAGAGCAAGGATGCATCTCTTTCAAAAGTAGCTGTTAATTTTTTATTCACAGTTGAATTAATACAATTAATACAATATTGAACTTAGTATAAACCCTGTAAGATATAAACTGAATGAGTTTTTACCCTTTAAAGAAGATCTCCATTTTAAAATATGCTGTTCTGTTCCCTACATTTTTTTTTCAATAAAATGTATTTTTTTAAATTAGAAG